AATGAACTGAAATTATTTAAATAGCTTCATCAACCATTCGTTGATTTCTTACTTCCATTTCTGTAACTATTTATTTTAATTGAGTTTATTCTGATAGCAATTAAAATGAGCAAATCATTAGAAATCGGATATGGTGTTTTATAAGAGTTCTTATTGTGACGGTATTAGCATGCAATATATTTCAATGACAGGGTTACTTAGAATTTAAACAGGTGAAATGAAATTGAGTATTTAGATTAGATAACTTGTAGAACTTGTCGACAGCAACCTGAAATGCAATAGACAATATTTTTATTTTCGATTCTAACTAAATCATCTTACAGCTCTCCGTAGCAATTGAATTGGCCTTGTTATAAGCCGAAACTTATAAAATAGAAGGCATTAAAGGTGTAACTTTTTAATGGATATACGAGTATTCCACATTATTTTATCAGATTATACAGTACAATAAGTGCTGAGGGTAAACCGATAACGAGGTTATTACGGATCAGAGCAGTGTGCAATAACGATTACAAATTTAGTTACTTTTAATTTTATACATAGCAATACAAGGCAATAAATTACTGGTTATTATAATCCATTAGCCTAGATATTAAAACTGCAACCATTTATAGGGTCAGAGGCCAGGATGACGAGATGACATTAAGTTCTTCGTATAAGGGCAAGGGTCAATGCGGAAAATAAATTAATTTAATGAACGTTCTTTTCAAAATGAAAATGTTAGTTTAAATATCAGATTTGTGTAATAAAATAAAAATAGGTAATAGCAATACAAACGACTCGTCTAGACACGATAGTAGTCCGAAAAAATATACTGCAAGTGTAGAGAAGGTCTTACATTCGATGACTAACAATACTATAATCCTTTTAGGAGATTTCGTTAATTGGTTACAAAGATTTATGTTTTTACTTCTCGGAAATTCCCAATGTGAAGTTGGTTTACTTCCGTTGGAATACTTGCTTTAGCCGTTATTGTAAAATAAAGCTGCTTTATCCAGTCCTACTTATGAGTAAATAAGAGTCTAATAAAATCAGTTTCACCTGCCAAATTTACAATTACTCTATAAATAATATTTTAGATATAGTAATTCTACTGCTAGGGAATCATGATTCTAAACGATAGACCATGAGGGCAAAGAATTTGCAAATTGAAATGGAATGCAGATTTCAACTATCGATGTAGAATACAATTATTATTTCCGTGGGGGAGTTAAAAACCACTGATAATTACAGGCCTCTTTCCATTTATATGTACTATAGGCTCTCCATGACATGCTATGCTCCAAAGTCATTCCTACACTCTAAAATAACAAGGCGAGCAAATGATTATCAGCCATCAATTTTACTGAAGTACCTTACGCCAATAATAAAGTATATTATCTGTTTACCGTCTTATTAGTTAGCGTTAAAACCTTAATGGCGTTGTCATTGTAAAGATAGGTAAGTAAAAAAATAAATGAATGTGGAGATGTACTGTAGAGGACATATACACATCCCAAATCACGATCAAAGTAATAGTACAATTGTACTGAAAGTTCTACACGTAAATTGCTAATTTGCTTAAAGTAAATATAGTAAATATAACGAAGTAGATAATAGTTTATTGATAAAACTAAGTGGTGAGTAAAATTGTAATAAATGTAGTGAAAGTTTAGTTGTATTTATTTCCATCAGATCATTTAAATTACAGGCGAGCAAGAGTAATTGAAGGTTCTATTAAGGACTCATAATGAGCAATTTGCGGTTAAATCAATGCATATTTTTCTAGTATTTCATTTGTTAATATTGGTATTACGCTCGAAAAGGGTGCAGGTGGTCTAATAGTTCACAACCGAAAATATAAACTATTGATTATGGTGCCTAAAAATAAGGAGATACTTTATTGTATGTGATCACTATACTTCACCCAAATAAGAAACAAATTATAACAGAATGGAATTCTATTATATACTTGTGCGGCTTGACTATCACACCTATTTATGATATTTATCCCATATGATCATTAGAGAATTGCTAATTTCAGTCTATAAGCTATATTTGAATCTTGTTACAGGATTTATTAACAATAAGTCTTTAATCCTTACAGACAAAAAAGTGTCTATATTTAAGCATTATGCCGCTATGATGCTAGTTGAAATTTCAATGACTTGTAATAGCAATACTTCCGTGTCCGCTAAACGTTAAATGAAAGACTGCACTACAGTATGTTAATACCCTTGATATTTAGCTCGATATCTATTCTTAGATGCTTTATTAAGGTATTTCTGAAGGCTTAACCAGTTGACTTATATGATTATCCTGTCTGATTCAACAATACAGATATACGAGTAGAACTCCGATAATTCCACAATTTGTAAGCTCAATTATGGTAACTGTTCAAATATGATTATCCTATAACTATTGCCAGGGGGAGGTAATTTTAGTTCTAAAAATTTCGATTGTATACTTAACCGTTAGCGGTAACGATAAAATGTTAATATGCAGCAGACATTACTTATTATCGCGTTTATAGCTTTCTTGTTCCGTTTTATACTAGAATGGTAACATATGTATTAAGTTCTTCATTATAATAAATACAAGTAGTCTTGGTAATAATCATAGAGATTATCAGGACTTTGCAGGTACACTTTATGATTATTTCAGTGGATTTTTACAGATATTTATAATATGATATGGAAAATTTTATTGGTTTTTATCCCATTTAGACAATGGAAGCAAATATGAAATCATACTGTCTTTATGTATATAATTAAGTACAATAGTATCTGCTTGCTAAAAAAATGTATTTTGTGGTCTATAATAATAATTCTATTATAATAATTATCAATAAGATGTAAACAAAATAATTTTTCAGAAACTTTCTTTTTACAATTCCAGAAATTAATTTGTTTAATCAAGTATTGAAATTATGAAAGATAGATCCACCTGCACCTCTTTCGCTAAGATTTTTTTTGTAATAAAAAATGAACTTGCTTGTGATCAAAATAAAAATTTCCTTCTGTTTACAATCACCTATGTTATGTCATTGCCAGTAGCAAATTTGAAATTGATTATAACTACTCGTATAATTATGATGGTTAAAACTCAATTTTCGAATAATAAAGCAACGGTTTAAGTAATGATAAACTCAACTAAACTTTCAAATCATTTTGTATTAATTTTCTATCTTAAATAATCAGATAAAAATTATATAACCATAATATATTATTACTGCACTATAGAAAAAGATTTTGACATCATAATTAAATATAGATTTTAGAATTCCAAATGCGTTCTTCGCACAATCTGTTTATTAGGCATGTATAATACAGTTATTGTTCAAAATGATTTGATGTGATGTATAAGTAAAAGGTTAAATTAATAACATAATTACATATACCTTAACCTATAAACAGAAAAATGATGAAATTTTTTAGGATATAGATATAAACCTCATTTTCTACCAACTATGCTTCTTCCTAAACGCAATAAAGCATGATAATATTAATACAATGAGAGCGTAAAATAATGCTCCTTAAATTGGTCTAGTTGCAGCTGTGTATCTTGCTGTAAAGATAGCATTCTCTCTATTAAGTTATTTACACACAGTAGCTTAGGCATTCTAGACAATAATAATAATGACAAATAGAGCTACCGTTAGGCATTTTTGTTGTTATCTAAGCATCTAGTAAATCATAATATTAATTTCCTAAGCTTCTATATATTCTTCAGTTGATTCTTAGTTTATTCGTACCTTTCACATGAATAAATCCAAGATAAATCTGTTTGATATATAATAAGATATTGGTAAATCAGACCATTGTTGATATTATGAAACAATTAAAAATAAGGTCAACAATAATTGTAATTGTGGTTTACGTGATGATGAAATTAAGTGAGTGTGGAATAGATAACTTTATTAATCTATTTATAGCAGTTTCTATTGAACGTGAATACTTTAGGCAAGATACTTTGATAGAATTTAGGTCAAAAATGGTCAGACACAAAGTCTGCCATTCCTCTTCTCTGATAACGAAAAGTTCACTTTGAAAATTTTATGGTGTTAAATACGTCCTTAAAATTAATATAACATTTTTAGCAATTAAGTCAACATTATATTAAATTAAATTATTGTCCATAGATATAATCTAATGATCAGTGTATCCGTTACTTATAATCAGTATTTAGTATAACTATATTTACAAATACATTAATCTAGCATAACAAAAGAGGTAAGTTAATTATATTTCATTTTAGATGGCGGCTTTTAATTTCTTAAGGGTTGAAATATAGTGATGCAACACAGTATTACTATTTATCTGTTACAATAATGGATAGTATGCCTTAGCGAATAAATAAAATACATATCATCGTTATAATTAGATTTATTGCTACTGATCTTTGGTTTTATTAATTTTGCCACTGTTGTGTGTTGTAATGAGTATTTCAGGGAAATATTTTATTTACTGACAGATTGGGCCAGAGTATGAAATGACCTATTGTGGCTAAGAAAATTTTATTTTATCTATTTATCATAATTATACTTAGGTACGGGTAGGTGGAGTCTGATAAAGTTAAATAGAAATAGATTAGGAAGAATGAATTCTTTTGTTCACTTTTTAGATATATAGCGGCGAATTGCAACTTTTTCGTTAAATATTGCAGTTTAGTTGAGCAACACCAATTAAGGGATTTATCAGAAGGTAACTGTTAAAAAGTTAGCGTATCTTAGAAAGTTTGAATATTTTGGAATAAGTATTTTATGCGTATTTAATATACAAAAAAATGTAATGTGTGTATATGAGGTAAATTTATTAATCAAGTATTATTTGTTTAATCTTTTGCTTGTATTTTAAGTTAAGAACTGCAAATAGTGTAATTATACAGATCTTACTGAACAAATGATTAAAAAATAATTTCACCTGTAACTACTCTACTATCAAAGTATGAACTTGAACCATATTTCGCAAATATTTTTATAGTCCAATATTAATAACGCTTTTATTGAAAGATTAGGCGAAATGAAGATCTGTCTATTAGTTGTTACCATCATTGGCCTTAATGCTATCGCAACATGCAAAGGTAAAGCAATACGCTATTGCATATATCGTATATAACTATGCAAACAAAAATTAACGATGCTCCATACTTCATTGACAAAGCTCCTTGCAATTTTTAAGTGAAACGATGATTTAGAAGTTAATTAGTCGTAGATTAATCAACTGATATGATTACTTTATAATTTACTTGTATACTCGTATTGAATATTTTTTAACTGCATCGTAACAGAGATAACTGATCGTCATGTATACAAGAACAATCAAGAACCTATTATAAATTGGTTTAAAAGAAGACAGGCGCCTCCTGACTCTGGTATTAGCTTATTTAATGAGAGACAAGAACCTGGTATTAGCTTATTTAATGAGAGACAAGAACCTGGTATTAGCTTATTTAATGAGAGACAAGAACCTGGTATTAGCTTATTTAATGAGAGACAAGGACCTGGTATTAGCTTATTCAACGATAGGCAAGCTCCTCCTGGTGCTAGTATTAGCTTATCTAATGAAAGACAAGCTCGTTCTAATACTGGTATTAGTCTGTTTAAGAAGAGACACATCTTTTCAGACGCAGATTTCAATAATTTGAAACGAAGGCAAGATCCCCTAATTAGTTGGTTTGAGGAAAGACAAGAGTCAGAAGACCCTCTCATTAGTTGGTTTAACGAAAGACACAATCCACTATTTAGCGAATTTAATGTTAGGCACGATCCCACTGCTACTTCTCATAAAGAGGAAGAGGAAGATAAAAATATTCCTGGGTTGAGTTTGTTCAAGAGAGAATTTCGTTCTAATGCGAAATTATCAAAAACCAATTATCACCCGCAATTAAGATTAAAGGGCAGTACTCATTTCAAAGGCATTTTATCAGCCAAGCGGAACGATAAATTGTCGGTTTCGCAGAAAAGAGATGGCTATAATAAAAAATTCAATACCGAGAAACTCCATCATAGCTCAAACATACTAAAATCGAAAGCCTAAGCCTATACCGGCCAAATTATTGGTAAAGATTTGTACTACTGTAGTTGATCGAATACAAATGTTAGTTTTGTGTTCAAAATAGAATTTAGCTTTCTTTCTGCTGTATGAGTTTACACGATAGATACTGTAATTGATATCAGCTATTAGGATCAAATTTGAGTTGCTTTTATTTTTATATTTTCTTGATGTTCCTGATACCAGATACAATGTTTCAGTATAGTAAGAATACTAATGGGATTAAAGATTGAACAAGGATGAAATTAAAGTAGATCCAACAATTTTGCTTTTTTTGCTTATGGATTGAAATAGATTTTAAATGTTACTTTACGCTACATTAGAATGAATGGTAGGTAGGTCCTCTTGCAGTCCATATGTCGAGCATCCGTTTACGCGCGTACTCTACTTGTCGCGAGTTACTATTAGATGCAGTTTAATCTAGTCGTTCTAAAAATATTATAATACACAAGACCCAGCAGTATTCTAGTCGTTAATAATAATATATTATTAGCTATACTTGCCTAACAATAACAATAACTACGGTCAGGATTATTGTATATATAGTTAATATAGCGTATTTATTGATAAACTTTTTTATTTCTTTTTTAGGACGTGTATACAGGAAGGAGTATTATATTACCCAAGTGGGCTTTATTAAAGTTGCAAATAATTGGCAGAATTAACCTTGAGCCCATATGATGAAAAGATGTCATATAATATCATCTAGCAATTAAAGAAGATAGATTAGTATTGAGTAGAAGCTATAGCTTGTGCAATATCTACATTGAACGTTACCCAATCCTATTAATAATGTGACCCTATCCATAAAAAAATGTAGGTATAGCTGGTCATGAAGTAAGATAGATGTCAATTAAAGATATACCTCATTTTATGCGGTCTGTACCTTGCCTTTATTAAATATGTAAACTATAATCTGATAATATTCCAATAAACGATCATTTAAAAAGTCCTAAATATTGCGTTTTAAATATATCAAGCTGTTTACTAGGAGTACAGCCCACGGATATGTACTAGCTACTAACTGGAGATAAATTTAGAATGTGAATGCATGCGTTGTGTGATTTTTACGCGTCTGACGATGCTACAACTGTCTAGATTATGCTTATGGATCTTTTTAAATAAATTCATGCACAATATAGTACATTAGCTCTGTTATACTTTTTCTTTGCCCTGTTGAT